TTGAACTCAAGCGCGTGAAAAAGCATCAGATTTAACCGCCTCTTGTCATCTAAAGTAATTCCTGCGGGAGAGGGGTGGACTCGAGTGTTGCTTGATCTGGCCTGTTATTGGTCAGTTTCGGGAAACTTCTCTTTGTTTCGCAACTTTTTCTGTCGTTGAGTTTTCCACCGCTCCTCACGCATTGGACAATCGTCTGTGTCATTAGGGTTAGCAGAGCGCAAAGTCAGTGGATCATTAGCCTCAGTTAGTGTCGTGCCTCCGGGAACATTAGGATGGCGAGGTAATGAGTTGTCACAGGAGCGTTGAATGGGAGGAAGGCTGTGGATTGAACCTTGGTTGGACTCTAGGCCAATTTGCGAGACGGTAAGTTTAGAACTGCTCACCGTTAAGCGTTTTTTGGTCACGATCTGCACCGGTACATCTTATATGTTTCTCCGGCTTCCTTAGACTACGACATTTCTTGCACAAAATTTGGATGAAATCATGTTGAATGGAACACAGAAGATGATAGGCATCTACAGGTTATCAAACATACGAAATGTGAAATCTAGCACATCAATCAAAGCATGTAAGAGTATTTGCCGTGTTTCCAACCATTTTCGAGCAGGAACCACAAGATATTTTGGAAAAATAATGCAAAAGTGTCGTAAAGTGGGTAAGTGGAATTTGCAAAACCGAACTACGAAAGCTGTGGCAAGGTACCACACAAAATATGATTCAGAAATTTCAAACTCAAAAATAAAATTGAAAGTTTCCGAACTTTTCACAAAATATTTCCATTATGCCGGCAAATCCACATGAGAGTACCCTGACAACGCACCCATGACTAAAGTGTGGAAAACAAATGCAAACGTCTGTCGGGTATGTACACTCTTGCTCACAGCGTTTTCCTTATATATGGTTTTTCTTCGTATGCACTCCGTGAAGAAATCTGCGAGCAGTCTCGTGTTGGAGGTCATGACTAAATATCCCGACTGAACTGTTACTGGGGTCGCCTTATGGTTTAGGCGTCTGGTCTAATCAGCTTTTTCTGATGAATAATATCGGCTTAACTAGCCTAGAAGATAATTGACACAACAGACGCTGTTTTCTGGTGAGTTTCATTCCACGAGAGGATACCTACCCAAATTCTGCACACTGTGCGTCCCGATTTCCTGTTTTTTTCAAAATCAATGATCTGTGGTGTTATGAGTTGGCTGTTGTTCACTAAACCCTTAGTCACCGGTGGGCCACTCGATCAGGGAGATAAGGATTCGCAGTATTCGTCCCCCGACACAAATCGCCAGCTTGCTTATCATGTAGTCAGGGTAGTAGTGCAGCCACCCATTTATTCCACTTATGTCCCGAAACCAATGTGGCCTTGTCACTGAGGCGCATCTTTGCTGTATTGCGGCGCGTGCCCTAAAACAACGACTAATTTCTGTCCTTGACACGAATAGACAACTCGCGACAGGTATTGCTATGTCTTCGAGTTGATTCCTGTAACTGATCAGACACACAATTCTTTCAGCTATTCGTGGCTTGTCCGCATAATGATACCGTCTCCATTAGTTAAGTAAGGTAATCACTGTGTCTCCAGCATAGCTTATTGCCTCGCATTTCTAGCATTCCAAGTTCGTGCTAGAACTACTAATATATTGAATTGAAACGTTTGGTGGCAAATTGTGAACCAGAGACTGAAAGGGATATTGATGATCGACGTTTCACCTTTTGAAGATGTATGTGGAAACAATACCAAAATAACACGCATCACAATTCCGATGGCCCACAGAACTATTGCAGTCTACATTGGGGACGAACATAGAGTTGACCATAATATGCTATGCAAACCTAGGGTAAGTAGTCAGTTTCGTTGCTATTATTTCTATTGTTGCTCACGCAATTTTTGTGCTGTTTATGCCACCATGGAATGCTTGAAAATGTGCCAAAAGCCGTGCAACAATGGTCTAACATGGGTAACAGAGTAAAGGCTTGTTAAGTCCAGTAGGATCGTCTGTGGAAAATGCACAAACACAAATATTTGCCACCAGTGTAAGCTGCACATCTGTACACTCGGCATAATGTCCACGTTAACCCGCATGCCAATCCGCCTACCACAATTTCGCGGAGGCTGGTGAGCAGTGTTTGTTTGCTCCATCCGATGAATACAAGTCCTGTCACGTCCATACAACTAATGCACTGCATTCTCCAGTCGATTTTCTGAAAATAAATAAACTTGGCGTAGCGATGACAGAAATCAGAAGAGCTTACCATGGCTAACCAATTCCGACGAAATTCCAATTAGTTAAATCTCATAGTCAGTTTCATTTGATAGCTTACTAGTTCTTCGTGTTCCGGCTAACTTTCGGCGGTGTTATATATATATATATATATATATTTGCAAAAGTCTGTTAACAGACATAATGCCATCAGAAACCATGGGATTCAAACGAAGGTACAGAAACAGTAAAATAAAACACAACACAACAATGTCCATGGTTCCCTCAGAGGGCGAGATACTACCCGGTTGCCCAAGCCGAAGTAGGGTGTTGACTTAGGGGACACCACCCCGAGCCTTTGGCTGAATAGCCTGCCCGCAAGGCAGCGGAGCGAATTCAGGGAATCGCGCCCATTGGGAGCCGGTGACTGATTGCTCAGTTCATACGCCTTTTGTTTGTTCCTTTGTCAAACAGGGGCCCAATGCTCCCCAGAAGTACAGCATAAGGTTGCTGGAATACAATGCTTCGCCAGGATGAAGCAAGGGGCAGTGACTTTATTTAGTGGCGAGTCACATCCGCCACGTCACAGTGTTGTTAAACGGACATATGTGGCTTTTTATAGGGAGAACGCTTGCCAGGCGAAAACCCACCACGTCCTGGAACACTGCCGCCGAACCATTTGCTGGAACGGGAAAATCCCGAACCACCCAGCTGGCACCACGAGGAGGTTGTTCGGCGGTGTTGGCAAACATGACTGGGGTTTTTCAATATCTGGTAAGTCAGGATAATGTCGCTCTGTAGAGGACGTTAATTTCCACTGTACAGCCCTAGGATCTCCAGTCGCTGTTAGTATAGCACATGGGGCAGTTAGTTTACTTTTTTAGATGCTCTTCTTTTCTGGGTCTCGATTACATCAGATCGCTTTTTAGCAAGGACTGAATGGTGCCTCACATGCGCATTGAGTGTTTCTTGGAATATGAAAAAGCCAAGTCGTCCGAATGCTGTCCGTAAGGGATCAACATTTTGCCTCTGTGCAATGAATAACCTCCGGGTAGCAAGAGACCAAGTCACTGGCGACTAAATTGGGTTGTGCTGTTAGTTCATCTCGCTTCCCACGATGGTGTTCGCATAACTTAAGCTTTGCTCGAGACTGCATGGAACATGTATCACAGCTCGCATTTGCAGTCGTCTCCTCTTCGGACTACTAGTGTCTGTTGCTGAAGTATCTGTAATGTACGACTAACAGGTGGGGAGCAATGTAAACTACTAGGAAGTTATCTCGTCGCAGCCATCTCTTACTGCCGACGTACAGTTGTGTGACGATATTTTGTTGACGAGCTGTAAGTACGGTGACCCCAAATGCACGCTTAAAACATTTGGCTCTCTCTCCTTTCTTATCCTGATTCTTCATTAGTGGATTGCTCATGTTTTTGTGGCATCGAAGTACCGGTATGATTTACGGATACCCCTGTTGTGGCCACTGCCGTTGATGTGCCGGCAAAATCACAGAGATGAATAGCGTTTTGTCTAGGGACAATGAGACCCTTTCCAGAGCATAATGTGGACCATGTATGCACAAGTGACGCATTAGCAATGGGTGCATAATTCTCTCTTGGACAGAATCATTGGATGGCCGTTATGCAATGTGCCCCAATCACTGATCGTAACGATCTCAATCGGAGGTGATGGGTTTGCCTGAATGAAATGTACTCGGGCTTCACTGTCAGTGTGCAGTGATTGTTAACCCCTGGCAGCACTCTACATTGTAAGTGGTCCTATGATTTTATTAGATTATTAAGAGCTAGATCAAGATCTCATGTGCAGATCACCTTATTGCGGGACAACAAGGCTTGCTTAAGCATTTCGCCTAAGCTCTCAGTGGTCTCCAAGACCATTCCACTTCGAATCGCTGAATCTCATTTCTGTTATTTCTCCATTGTCCAGTATTGGTAATACCAGCGGATGATTCGAACTATACAAGTCTGCCACTTCTCCCGGACGCAGATGACGTGTCTTGGTTGCTTCGCAACACACCATAACCTGCTGAATCACCGTGCCTGTGAAGGGATGCATCTACAAATAACGTTCTATTTGCGGTCCGTCTTTTTCACTGTTATAGTACACTATGCTCTCTACCTAGTGATCCAGTCACAGTGAGAGGACACACAATTCAAGAACGGGGTATTTTTCTTCTGATTAGAGGATGGGCACATTTACTGATCAAATTTACTTCTCCATTTGGAAATCCGTGCCTTCGAATCACATCTTTCTTAGCCTTAAAGCTCAGTTATATTTTTCTTTCTGATTGGCTCACACGGCCAATTGTGGTCGGCAAATGTGCGGACTCACCAATACGCTTTGAATCCGTACAGGGGCCACCAAGCACACCGTTTAGACTGCCATTCATATTCTCCACGGTCCTGTCCAGTCGCTACGTAGAAATACACGACTGCAGCCGATTTCCCTCCTCGCAATACAGGGTAATCGCGTTTTTACAGTTCGTACGCGCTACTTGTTACCATCACCGTAGTTCCTCATCCGAATTTCTCTTGTGGTTCATAGTTGGGTTGCCTTCTCCACGTAGGTTCACGTATGATCGTAAGCTCGGACACTGTTGGGATGGCAATTGTGTGGCGCGTTTGCCGAGCTAAATTCCATGTACCGGTCCACAGTGTAGACAAGTTCTTCTGTGTAGTGATGCATCATTACATCTGATTGGTTCTCCCCATGGCTACTGCGTGCTCACAAGTGCGCTTATCACCCATTGTGCGTGCATCACGCTATCCTGCTTCCCTTTGACAGATTTATCTACAAATGAGACAACCTCCGTGGAGGAACGCTGCCTTACGGTTGGCTTTCCAGGCAGTATTTTTGGCGCTCGCTATTGTAACTTGTATATCACGTATCGTGGATAACAAACACCATCCGACGGATGTGATCGCCGGCGCTGCTTTGGGATTAGTGGTGGCTTTCAGTGTGGTAAGCCTTCATCGCTTTTCAACTTCTGTCATTACTCTTCTAATCGTAATTCACCATGCTTATTCTCTGACGGCAGCACATGAAGTGTGCCAGTTGGCTGAACCATGCATATGGCAGGTCTAGGATCAGTTCGAGTCCTGCCCAAACCCACTATGTCCACCGTATTCGCTTTGGTGCGCTTACTTACCGATCAGCACGCCAAGTGCCTGAAACAGTTGCTCTTTATTTCATTGTAAGCTACAATTTCCATCTGGTGTGTGTGTTTTACTTCAGCTACACGGCTAATCCACCGCAGATACCAATGGACATCTAAACCACGTGTCGCGGTGCACCAGACCTATGCGCTTCACTTGAGCAACCTTTGCACTTCAATCTATACTCAGCTTATTTTTCCACCGTGGTATCCCTTCCCATACCATTCAACGTCCGCTAGGATATATCGGCCTCTCCCATCAGCACTACTTTATATAAATATTCGTTCGCTTTCAGCTCTTATCCAAACAACTCACTACACATCTGGGAAGACGCCAGAGCGACATTTCATCCTAATGGAATAACTCCACTATACCTTATCCTTTGCTTTTTGTAGTCACTGTATCAAATAGTTAGATGAAATCGTACCGAAGACATTTCTCTCGGAAAGCACTCGTTGTGAAATGTGGTCAATACTCTAACGGTACTCGCGCTACTAGCGGTGTTGTTTTTCTTGCCAGGTATGGGGACAATTGGCCCAGACGCACTCAGTATTTTGCTTTTTTCCATGTACCGCCTTGCAGTAGCAGCATTGTTTGCCAAACGGCATCCTGTGATTTGAGTTTTCCATACTTCAAGCTGTTTGTTGTGGTTACTCAAGCACACTAGAATGTTTTCAGTCCATGTTCCGCCGTCTCATCTATTTTCCACATCGCTAACAAATTGTGTACCTTGTGCATACAACAGTGCCATGTGGAAGCGGTCACACTCGTTTGTGTATAGTTGATTACCTCGGTACTAGTCGCTCTTGATTTATCATCCTGATTAACCCTATGAGTTGTTACAGTCGAGTATCACACATCCACCCTGTCTTTCATTTTATCTCTTCATTTTGTTTGTTGACTGTCTTGACTCTTCATGTTTCTAAGTATTCAACTTTTCTGTCCTTCTACGCAGCCTTTTTACGTTCCGAAGCTGTTTTGCCCACCGGTCAACCACTCTTGTCTGTGCGGTCTTATGAACTATCACGATCGGTAAGTCGTCTCTTGTCTCGTATCCGTCAAGCTACGTCCGTTGATCCAGTCTTGTGCAGATTACTCCGCAATGTTAAGCGCTACTTATATGTTCCGTAACCCATCACTCGATAACGCATTCCGCTTAAGCGACTGCGCACAACTTAGTTGAGGTTTGCTGCTCTGATGGATTGCGTTCCGATGCTGCCGATGTTCACCGTCCAAACTCGGAGGTCGCACAGTATCAAGAAAACGCGCGCCGAAGTTTGCGTCAATTCTCAGTCATTACCACACAATTCACTTGTGTGTCACCGCCACGCAAGTAAATCATACTCCCACTTCCTTTCGTCTCCTTGTACAATTTTCTTCATCTTACCCTTCCACCCACTACTCTTCAACTAACAGCAGAGTAACGTTCTTCATCCAATCGTTTCTCTCTCTGATGACCAGCATCTCTTTTGGTCCCCTCAAACTACAACCTCGGCACAGTATCCTCCACTCCTGCTGTAACGCGAAGACGCTCTCACTATTTTTGTTCGTCGCAATCAGCCGACAATTCAGATATGTCGACCAGCTATCCGGAAAGGCACCAGACGGCCGTTTCGCCCTATTGGGGCTCATCAGTGGTGCGCAGTCATGGGTTCGATTCTCCGCAGAGGACCGAATGATGCGCACCACTGATGAGCCCCAATAGGGCGAAACGGTCGTCTGGTGCTTCTCCGGATAGCTGGTCGACATATCTGAATTGTCGGCTGATTGCGACGAACAAAGATACTCACCAAAATCCTTCCACTCAAAGTAATACCGATTCGCCCTTACGGATTCCACAAAATGCTATGCCGATTCATAGCTGCCGTAACCGGGAAGTCCTGACGCCGGAAGGCCAACCGCTGTCATCTGCATGGTAGTGGAGGATGGGTCGGGCTATATCGCATTTAGCTAACAATTCGTGATGGTCAGATACCGTCCTCCATGGCGCAGTTGCATAAGTTGCGGGCTAGTTGGCAAGAGCCACTAGCAGTCATGGGTTTGATCCTCCGCAGAGGACCGAAGGATGCGCACCACTGATGAGCCCCAATAGGGCGAAACGGCCGTCTGGTGCTTTTCCGGATAGGTAGTTGACTTAGCTGATTTGTCGGCTGATTGCGACGAACAAAAATACTCACCGAAATCCTTCCACTCAAAGTAATACGCTCTCACTAATCTGAGAATTCTTCTGTGTGCTCTTAACTCCTATGTGAGCTCAACCGAATAAACTGACTTGCATTGCTCCACGCTTTAAAATCGATTTGGCCTCTTTAAAGTGCAAAATATCATCGCAGGACTGGACTATGACTCTTCACCAGTTTCCAATATCGTAGAACAATCCTTCGAACTTATCGATCGGTTCACTCCACATAAAATCTTACTGAACCTCTTGTTAAGGTTGGTGTATCTTTTCCCCTCCATGGACACTTATGAAGAAGCTTGAGTGTAGGTATGTTGGTACGACTAGTGTACTGCAGCACCGGCCGCCACGCGCTGAGGACGCTAACAGACTGACTGTGTTTGACCAGCACTGCTTGCGATGCGTATCGCTCATATCTGCTAAGAGGATCCGAGTGAGCAGTGCGGGAGTTCCCCATGCCACCTGTTTGACAACAACCCACCCACGGCACCACATCGGAGTACCTGTTAAAGTCAAATCACCTTCGTTGGCTCGGCATGTGCCCCTCCGCAGGTCTGTCAGACAGCAACCCCGGAATTATTCACCAATACCGCTCACATGCGGGTGGTCACTCAATAGGAGGGCAAAAGAGCATGACGAAACTCGTCGCACTGTATCTGCTTGATACTTTTCACATTCACCGGTGTCCACGTGATCGACCACAATATTGGCTAAAAATGGCGTAGTTACGTGGCCAATAACGCTCCTGCGCTCGTTCTATTACTTAGGAACTTCCATCTGACGATTTTACTCATTATTCCTTGTCTTTGATTATTATTGTTATTATTGGTAATGTTATTATTATGTTGAAAATCTGTGTCCCGATTAGTTGAACACACTCTTTGGACCACGATCTCCTTAGTTTCCATTCGACGCGCTGCGGTTGGGGTACCACAGCTCCAAGGATTGTCCCTTCTCGTATTGGTTGCCCCCCCCATTTACTCTCGATGATGCTGTGGAATGATCATGCTTCCACACAGCGAGTGAATCTGTCCTACAGCCCCAGCTTTATGCTCACGAAAAAGCCATTGTGTTGGATCTTGCAACTGTCCCTGCTGTCATCGACACATTTGTTGTAGAGCCGGAAATCAGACCACAGGACAGTTGAAACGGGTGTCGCTGCAGTCACTTGGTAACCGGAGCTTGTGATCTACCATCTCCCCACAATTAATTACCATTTCATTTTGGCTAGTCTAACGCGCCTCCTTATTGCTTCACTTTTCTCTGTACTCAACCCCACTATCTTGCCGCACTTCGGTGCTTAGGCCATATTTGTTCATCTGAACTGAGTACGCTTCTTCACTTAACACTTCCAACGAAATACCAAGGATCTCACGGTTCTGGCACTGTGGTTGATAACAATTGTCAGCTGTTCGACACCGATACACATGACACAGCGATTGGTGTAAACATCTCTCGTTTGCAAGCTTCCTCGGCACAATCAGCGCCAATGTCAGACTCATATTCACACATCGGCGCTGCCGTGTTGGACCACGAAATTCCAGGTTCTCTGCAGTTTCACGACTGTCACCGTGTTGCTGGGTAATTGTGACATGATAAACTAGTTGATGTTCTGCGACTCACCAACCACTAACATAACTTTAATCGCAACTCACTTCACGGAAGCCACATGTGAGCAGCACTTGTGTAACAATTTCAAGTCGCCTTGAAAATGTTAAGTTGCTAAAGGTCACAATGTTGCTTAAGTTTTCTTTTGCTTTGTCCTTTAGCACGACACTTGCTCTAAGCGGATGAGTGCACAGCGAGCACCAAAATGTTTTGACCTGCGACATTGAGTGGGATTCCATCAGCTGGAGTTGGTCTCCGGCTTCGTATGAGCTCTGGTCACTACAGCCATCGGTATTCCGTTGCCAATTTCCTTATGCCCAATGTCCACCCATCTGTCCTCAACTTTTCTCTTCACCGGCTTTCTGTTGCACTTATCTGTCCTGTAACTGTATTTTCCTGTTGTGAACTACAGAAAGGAGATATCTTTATGTCAGGGAGAAAGTAAGAATTGCCTAGAAAGTCCACTATGTTAGCGATTAATCGCTTATTAACGATTATCGCATCGATTTCGAACGTTTCGGAATGTTCTACTTCTGCACGTGATTAAAAACCACTTGGCACCTCGGCAGAAGATATGGGGAACCACTAACCTTGGTAGCTGACCTTCCAATTTTAGAAGTCGAAGGTCAGTAAGGGACATATATATAGCCAAGGTCCGCAGTAGTTGTACAGTGTCCGTTGGTGGCGATTAATTCGTTATTTTGTCAAGATCATTGGCGCTTTGCTTTTTTCGGTTGGGCTAAAAGTTTTGTGGAGCAGTAAATTGTTATTTTTGGAATTGCGTCTAGTGAGAAGATTATAACAAATACTGCTAATAATATTAATACTAATAAAATGTAGCTTCTCCTAGTTTCAAATGCTATGGACGTAGCGTCTAGTGGGAAGAAGTCATGACCTTCGGAGGCTAGCCACTGTTATCTGATAATTTAGTAACCTGCGTGGCAGTGGAAGGTAGGTCAAGCTATGTCGCAGTTAGCTTGCAAATTCTGTAACGCAGCCGAGTTCGCCTATGGCTCGATAGTTTAAGCTGCTAGCTAGTTGGTATCTGCCTCTAGCGGTCATGGGTTCAATCCCCAGTAGGGGACCGAGAGAATGCCGACCACTGACGAGCTCCAATCTGGCGACACGTCTGTGTCGCTTTTCCGGACTAGGCTGTGCGATGTAGCCTGTGAGCTGCTGGGACGAAAACATTATACTTGCATTCAGTTAGGCGTGTGCTGTTTCTGAAGCACACGCTCTAAAACAGCACTCAGTTCCGTTCACCTGGTCAACAGTGATGCGACCACCGGAGTACCAGCGCTATAGTTACAAGGAGTCATAGAGCTTCGAATACCTACCCCTTATTAGGAGGGATGAGGGGAGTAAAAGAACGAAATCAACAAAGGACAGCGCTTCAGGGATAAGAAAGATAGGGTTGAAAATTTTGCTTATACAGTTTGACAGGTACGTTTGCATAGCTCGATGCAGCAAGTGCTAATTGGCTCCGCTGCTTCAGTTCGTCCGCCTCTCTAAACACTGGTGTGGCAATTTTGCACGCCCCATTCTACATGATGGGTTGTGATTCCCGCTAATTGAACTGGTCTTCAATCGCTGGGTGCTGACCAATGAAATCGGTGATTCGATTTAACATTCTCGGCTATATGGTCGCAACTTGTGCATGATGCCTTGCAGTCAAATTTGGTCAAGCTGTGTCTACAAATCCTAACAGCATTCAGCAGGATGATCGGGGATCCAAGCAAAAGTCACTCACATAAACCCCGTTCTGGACGAGAACGAATGCCGACTGCGTACGTCCTGCAGCTACCCTATTTCCAGAATAACCAGCATCCTTGCCCGATCGACAACAATGGCTGCTGTCTTTGTAACTATATCCGCCGAAGTCCATCCATCTTTTTTGATTCAGTGATACGAGTGTAATTGCTCAGCAACGGATTCACGGCTCACAAATCCGTCTTATCAACATGCATCCCGCTTTCTCTTTTGCTTTCTTGTCATTATCGATTTCTACCTCTTTGTTCCATTGGTCGCTTCGAATTTGGCCGCGGTATTTGGTGTGACAAGTATTGCACTAGTGCATCTTCAGGTCGACTGAAATCACCGCACAGATTATCTTCGGTCAGCCACACTGTTGGGGATCCGAAGGTCTCGAGTTTCCTCTAATAGCCTACAATGTCCTTTTGCATAAACACCCCTACTTTTTCACTTGTCTGCTATTCCGCGCTGTGTCAACTTATTTTTACCAGGCTGTACTAATAAAACCTGTTGTTTGCCGTGCGTGACTAGTGCGTAGACCCGACTGTGTTAGGAAACTTAAGGTTCCTTTTTGCAAAGTGCTTTCATACTCTTGTGACGGGATTTTGCTTCACCCGCTGGCTTTTTGACTGCATCAACTGTGCCGCCTGTACCCCCTCCAGATACACGCGGTGTTGTCGAATTGTTCAACTCCCTGAAGTATCTACCCATAGTTGTGTTCGCCACCACTGGTCTATCTTCAGTTGTGAAGGAAGACTCCGTTTGTCTTTGGTTTACTACAGCCTTCGTGGCGCTCTTGGTTGTTTCCCCCAAATTGTTTGATCCATCAGAAGTAGCTATCACAGTATTCGTTTATCATGTCCCCATAAGTTGATGTTCATAACCACTCAATCTGGCTTCTCTTCATCGGCCGCTACTTTTCATCGGTCGGTCTTTTCCCGGATACAGCTCAATCGTGAAGCGCCAAAGGATGGCCGTTAATTCTTTCCACTCGTCATATGTACAAAGTATGTTTCCACACATTTGGATCCTGCTTGCAATTGTGTTTTATTTTGCCCGTTCCAGTTTGTTTTGCTGCACTTTCCGTTTCCTTTTGCACTCTCTGTGTTTGAATGCATCGGCCTTCGCTTTTCCACAACTAAATGCCTTATTTTCAGAGATCCCGAAGTGGACACACCAAACCACCTTGGTTTGAAGAGTGTCACACTCGAAATGGCTGATTCAGCGTGTTCCACTCTTGACCTGCCCTAATAGTTGCTTACCCCATCGGAGGGTCATCTGATGGAATCCAGCAGTGAGTTTCTCGGATTGTTGTTCACTATGATGATTTTTGTACTCTCAAGCACAATCTGAACCCGTAAGATGTCAAAGATTTCCTTTGCTCCAAATGACCGCTATAAGAGGTGTATTTTAAGAGTCAGATACCGCGTTCTATCGGCAATAAAAATGACCGCTTCTAAACCCGGTTCGGTGTGCACACAAATATCGTCCAGTCTCCTGGTCCACTACGATACCACTTCCCCTGGCTTGACCTTGACCAGGCCAATCACATCTCGGCCAAATGATTCATTGCGTCCAATTATTATCGACCCGTCTTAGCCTCCTCGGTTGTGGTGGTGCTTGTCTGGTGGACCACGAAAAACAGGCTCGCTTTGGATAGACTTACTATTTAACTAGTACTCTTCACTGCAAGAGATATGCATATCACATTGGGCTTGATCGAAGTTTGCACGCAATTCTTATTCGCTGTGTCTGGACAAACCACCTTAGCTGTGGTGCATCATGGATAAATGTTAAGATAGGGATGCCTTGTAACTTGCTATCGGTTGTTGTTCCAAAAAACCAGCCTGTCTATCACTGCCTAGTAATAGCTTGTGCCATCTGACACTAGCGATGCTTCGCAGACAACGATGATCAAAAAGTTGAAGCCGCCGTAGATCTTCAGATCGGAGGGGCCAAGTCTCGCTTGAGCGCGGCGAAACACAATCCAGAGGAACTGGTCCGATCATGGGACATTCATACTGATATTGAAATGAATGATTTACAAGATCAAACATAACTGCTGTTCCATTGATTCGTTCATATCGATTTCATCTCAACAATGCTTCGCAATACACGACAGTCATGAAACGTCTAGCGTGGTTCAGATGGAGTATTGTAAAAGAGGAAAAAGAAGATTCTTCTTAATTCATTTTAGGACAACCCGCGTACAAAAAAAGTTATATTAAAAGGCATAATATTGGTATATGACAGTATTTGTAATGGCAGAGCGAGAGTGAGAACAGATAAAAAGGTGCCACTTTAACGACTAGCAGCTAACCAATTGCCTGTCCCTGTTATAAACGGTTTTATTCAGCTGGAAAAAACAATGCGCTTCACACGGATTCCGAAATATCGGCACACGGGGAAAGTGTAATTATCTACCTGTTAGATGGATTGGTGAAGGGATGTCAAGGGCCAAACTTTACAGTATGTCTACGTCTTGCGGACACTCATGCGTCTTCCTCTAATTGCGTACGGGAGATGAAATAATACACGACAGCCCAAGTTAAGGTCAGTTTCTCCAACCCACCAATGTGTTTCATAAGCTTTCGGTCTTGGGTCTTCAGTTTGAATAAGAGCAAAGGATGTACGAACATAGGAAGAAATATGGTAGTAATCTACCCATTAACACTTGGCAAACACTGTCGACACATTTTCCTCCTCATCATATCGTGCATCCCCTGACTGCTTCGCTGTTTTCATGCCCGTTCTCATACACGCATTCACCTTTGTACTTGATACAACATAGTTCTTTACTATTTTAAATAATCATGTACTACTTTAGTTGGCTCTTAAACGTCCGAATAGAAGGTGAACTTCTGATTTCCGGTGATAATCTATTGCATTACATGGGGTGCTTAAGAGGAACTAGGTCACACCTCAAGCGTTTGCCACAAAGAGATAGTTCTATCGCATATTGTTTGTTTCTTGGGTTGCGCGGTTAAGGTTTTTGGATTACTGGTGTGTGTCAATCGATGGAAAATTGTGTAAACCAGTTGTACTATTCAATACCGCAGCTGTTTAGCTGTCAACATTTGACATTTATCCTTATGCAAGAGAGTTAAGATGCAACGCGCAAGACATTTCTTAGTATACCACTGTGTTGCTCCCATTTTACGCGTTGTTCCTCTTCTGGTATTCTACCAACCGTCTGGCACATACTTTTGGCGACAGTAGTTTAGCTATGCTTGTTATAAAATGGTGGTTGATCATCCCTATAGTTTGATTTGCTTTAGCGGCTTTATACTCCATTTGTTCTCTGGAATTCTACAAACCTGAGCGACGGAGATTTAGTGTGTGAAAATCTCATGCGTGAATGAAATATCATGCGAAACCAAACCTCCTGATGGAATTGCATTCATAGCACCTGATGTTACACTTGAACGTTGAAGGCTTCGTGGAAGATCTGACGCAACACTCTTTCAAAGAGACTGAGTTATTTTGGATTTCAGAAACAAGAGACTATCCTCATTAGATACGCAGAACGTCAACCGAGACCTCTATCCCTAAGCCACCGAGTGACGGCGGATGAGGCTTGGCACAACGGTTACTGACCGATAAAAGGAGTCGTTTTGTAGCACTTGTTGTGTTGTTGGATTGCGATGCTCCATCTCAATGTGGATCGTGATTCGCATTGAAGTGAACCTTGGTCAATTTGATCACCATGACCGTAATTGTTGAGCGAGCTGAATGTTGGGCGCTGCCCGTCCCTGAACAGTCCACCACATGACCCGTTCCGAATCGGATCCGCTGGCATGCTAGCAAATCAGCCACCTCGGCGTGTATGGTGTGCCATTACCGCGCCGATTTGGGTGAATCTCCGAGGTGGACAGTCGATAAGCATAGTACTGAATACTGTATTTTGGAGCAAGTAGAAAATAATTCTGTACAACTCCATCGGGTGATAATCAAAAAACTATAAATGTCTATCTTTGTCGATACTTGTTGTCTTCTTGAACAGGGTCCTCAAAGTCAGCCACATTGGCAGTCGGCTACTTTCTAAAATACGGCGGTATCACGAAGTGAATTCAGTGCTTGCCTCTGTCCCTTCACTTCTTCTTTGTAGACATGTTATTTGACGATTTCAATACCTGTCCATTTCTCCTTACGATTGTTATTTCGGCGGCATAAACCAAAACAGGTAGATCTGTTCGATGCCATTACACGTGTACTGTTTGATGAACGGAGCATTTCGACATGATTGCAAAGGTGTGCATCACACATATTTTACTCCCTGGTATGTTTTTGCCAGCGACATCTGGAGTTAGTTGAAGATGATGTTGGACAAACGGTGTATCATGTGACCGTTTAGAAGCAGGTGAAATAGCCTTCATCGCTTATCTTCACTTTCATTTATTCAGGATTGTATTTGAGTGAGTGCTTTCGTCGTTTGTGCTTGATGTGTAACATTGGTTTTGGTCTTCCGCTTGGAACGTCAATAGTCTCAGATCAGTAGTAGTTCCTCACCCACTTCTTTGCCATCTGATCACATGCATAGTGCTTAGCTTCGCTTTTCGCATCTTTTCACCATAATTTGACTTGATATTTATGCCCGCCCTCACGTCCTACTGTTAAGAAAGAATACACTAAGCAAACAACCGAGGCGCCCATCGTCGTTACGGGACCAAGACATGGTAGGCGATCCAAACTCACCCGCACTGATTGGGACGAACAGATAGTCCACCGGGTGCAGCGGCCAATTAACACGAGGGTGGCATTAATTTACTACTACTGCTACTAATAACAACAATAATAATAATAATAATAATAATAATATTTATAATTATAATAGGTATATTTATCATCGAATGAGAAACTGTGACCATATTTGGCACAGATCATATTTTACAGAAGATCTCACACTCATGCATGAATGGTAAACATTTACGGGATTTTCATTGCCTTTGCTGTTTCAACGTCATCTTAATTGTTAAACTCACTACAGCTTCTTCTATAGAGTTTTCGTTCAGATTTCCAAATGAAAATGCTTGTGGCGAACTTGCTCAATTTTTCAAACAGTTTTCCTTTCTTCTGAACACTTGTGTGCCTTAACACCTCAGCCACACCTATGGTGCTCGCGTTTGTCGTGGCGCTTGCGTTCAACATTTGACTTGTGATTTCGTTTCAGGTTGAAATCGTTGTGCTTAACTGTTGGAAGTTTCTGTACCTGTTCACGACTGTCTTCCGTGTGCCCTCGACGTCGTTTGTACCTCTCATTCACAACCTCACTACACTGGTCTTCTACGCCCAACGGAACATATCTCCACCATTGTAGTCCCAATCGCCGTTACCCGACCGATGTCCGTCATACTCAATTGTCAATGTTTATATGTTTCTCTTGTTCCTTTGAATTCCCCCGTTTTTTGTGCCTCGCTTTTTGCACTGGCTATTTCCGTTAATATTACTTGAAAATATGATTTTTACGCCTCTAACCAGGGATGAGATGGAAGCTGCTGCCTCAGCTAACAACTTCAGCGACGAGACTGGACCTTAACATGGTGCGATGGTTTGTGTGCCTCAGTGATCCATTGAGCTATGGTATGTGGTAGTTTTTACACCTTCAGAGTCACCAGATTGGTCAATGGTTAGAGGCCAGACATACTCATTCTCCTAACCCTCCAATTTGGAGTGAGGGTGACTCCTTACTCCCTAAAACGGACTCTCTGTAGTCCAGTGCCAAAACCGCGCTACTTTGCGGTCAGATTTTTGAACCGAAGGCTTTAGTTGCGAACCCTAATCGTTCTCCTGTCTGTGCCTGGGTAACCTGACAGTATTCTGCCTACGCAATACAACGAACCTTTCTCCTAACAATATCTCTCTATGTTCTGGCCGTCTCAAACAATAATCAACGGTGCCCTATCTGCTGTATCGAGCAGGGTGGATAAGGGTTTGGATGCTACTGCTCTGACCTTCCCGTCTTCTTATCCCCTTTCTTGCGTTTTTTCATCCTTATCGTCCCGCTCCAACTTTACTTTTATCCCCCACATTTTCAATCCCCCAATTTTTGACCCTCTCCCACCTTGCTTCAATAGTCACTTGTGGTTTCAAATCACACACAGTCGCAGGGCACCCCTCCAATCCAGTCGACAAGTACATGTTCAACCAATCGGACAACGTCAGTTCATCCGTTTCCCTCTGGAGTCCTCGCGTCTCGCTAAGACTGGAATGCCTCAACGTGCACACTTTGCTACAGATTGGCCAACAGGCAGCACTTGCCCGCACACTAGAGACCCTATCGATCGATATTTGCTGTTTATCAGAAACCCGCCTGCAAGATTCGAGCTCCGTACTTACTCCGCGATCCCCCACATGCGACACTAGCGGCACATTCTCATTGCGCCTGTCTAGCGATGATGCAGCTTCAAATGCCGGTCAAGCTGGCGTCGGCATTGTTTTGAGTCCCTGGACTGAAGCTGCCCTGATCGATTGGATCCCAGTAAACAGTAGGATGTGCGCCGTTAGATTAGCTGGTTCGTTCCATGCTACGAAGTCGCGCGGGGACAAACGTTGCCTGGTTGTCATTGCGCCTTACGCCCCCACAAACTGCCGACCTGATCCGGTGAAAGATGATTTCCATCACCGACTTAACGATCTTCTTCGTTACAGAAAAACACGGAAGCTGTGGTTCTTGCTTTGAGCTAAACGTCCAAGTCGAAAGATTGTCCTCTGATGAGCTTCATCTGGGCGACCAACATGGTGTAGGCTCACGTAATGCTAACGGTGAGCGTTTGCTACACCTGTGTGAGGGTACTCGTCTCTTTCTCGCGAACACTAACTTCCGACACTGCACCCGCAGAAGTGTGACTTGGCACCCACCACTCTCGGGCCAGCCATGGACGCAAATCAATCACATCACGATTAGTTACCGCTGGAGAGGCTGTGTCCAAAACTGTCGCTCGATTTGGAGCACCAACGTTCTTGTGTGTCGGCCTCCGGGTGCGTTTCGGCGGACGTCCGCAACGTCGCTCTAAGCGCATTGATACCAGCCAGCTGGCGATGCCGGGTGTTCTGAATGCGTATCAAACTACACTGGCATCTGGGCTGAGTAGGCGTCCACTAAACACCGTTGAAGATCACTGGTTGCATATTCTTCAAACGTTACTATCAGCAGGCTTGTCTTCATGTGGCAAATGAAATTGCCAACCTAGGCGTTAGGTCTCTACAAAGCCTCGTCGACGTATTCCGACTGGAGGCGAATACAATGAGCCTCGCAAAAATCTCAGGGTAAAACTGCGTGCTAGCCTGAAGAGAGACCGCGAAGCCTGGTGGTCTCATCGTGCATCGGAAATGGAAACAGCCGTTGCTGTTGGTAATCATCGTAACTTATTCCGTCTGATACGGGAAACAGGCAGCAGGAGACGTGGTGTTAGCAGGACAATACGTGGCGAGAGTGAACAGCCGATCCACAGCTTGTCAAAACGCTTGGAGCGTTGGGCCGAACACTTTGCAAGGCAGTTTAACCAAGCTTAAATATCGCTTTCTCCATGGGCCGTCTCCTTAGATCCGCAATCACGCGCCGAAGTCGAACGTGAAATCAGATTGTTGAAATTGCATAAGACCGCTGGTGCAGATAGAATCCCCCAGCTCTACAAATTCGGGGGACCTGCTCCTGTGGATGATTTACACGAGTTGCTAATGAAACTGTGGGGGCAGGAAACTGTCCTGACAAACTGGAGCCGCTCTGTCATAGTCTCAATTTTCAAGGGTGGCTCCCGTTCGAACTGCGGCCACCACAGAGGGATCAGTCTGATCAGAATTGCCCCATCGAAGTGTAAAGTACTGCTCAAGGATTGGCTTTCACCTGCTCCCCTGCTCAAAGGTGCACAACTTGAACAGGTAGATAGTTTCGTCTGCCTTGGGAGCTGTATTTCTGCTGACGGCACTATCAACAAAGAAGTTTCTCTTCGTATCGCTAAAGCTCGATCAGCATTTGTCAATCTGAGGCACTTGTGTCGTCGTCGCGACGTCTGATTCTCACTAAAGGGCCGCGTTTACAGCGCATCAGTTCGCTCAGTATTGTTCTATGGGTGTGAATCCTGGCCGATTCGCGTGGAAGACATGTTCGTCTTTTTGCGTTCGATAACGGTTGCTTAAGGAGGATCGCTCGTGTTTGGTGGCAACATCGAGTTAATAGTAATGACGTTCGATGTCGCATCTTGGGGAATGCGAGTATTCCTTTCAACAAACTGGTTTTGTTGCGCCAGTTAAGATGGTTCGGTCACGTCCTACGCATGGCACCTGAGCGTCTACCGCGTCGCGCTCTATTCGCTCATCAAGGACCTGGCTGGAAGCGACCGCGTGGTGGTCAGCCTTCCACTTGGCGACAGCACATGAAATCGCTGACGTCGTGTCTAGCCGCTGTTGGATCCGTACGTCTTCCAGGATGGGGACCCAAAGATGAGGAGTGCCAATGGCTTAGCACTCTTGAAGACATGGCCCGCAACCGGAATCAGTGGAAGAATTGTGCACAGTATTGTATTGATTCACATGTTTCACACTACAAACATTGAAAATGACAAAAAAGGAAAAACTCGGCGTGTGAAAAACAAACTACAAAAATGTTTCCTACTTTTTGTGTGTTGTTCACCTTCAATTAGAATGCCACGATGATTATGACGCAGTGACTTCCCCTTATCTGCTAGTCTCCATGGCTTTGTTGGCTCTATTGTCTAGTTGCTAGGCTGTTGAGGTTACATACATACTAAATTACTTGCTTCTCACCTTCTCCACAAACTGACGCGCTCGTGAAGGCCGGATCCGCGAAGAGCAAGCCGAATTTCGTAGAGGTCGGGGCTGCATCGGCCACATCTTCACTTTGCTTCAATTGTTGGAGCACCGCCATGTTTCTTGGCGACCCACCATTGTCGTGTTTCTCGACAGCAAAGGTTCCTTCAATTCGGTGCATCGATGTGTCCTTTGGGATTCTACACATGAAAGGTGTGCCCGATAAATATGTAAGCATAACCGAAATCGCCATACGCGCATAGTTCGGGCAGAGTGAGGGTTTATGGGTAACGGTTGCCGCCCTTCAATATCTCCAGCGATGAGACAAGGTTGCCCGCTGTCACCTTTCCTCTTTTATTTTGCTATTGATAAAGTCATGGAAACAGCGTTCGCTAGACACGACCTAGGTGTGGAGCTACTTCCTGGTAAAAGACTACTTGACTTGTAGTATGCGGACGACCTTGCCCTAATATGTGACAGCGCCCAAGCGTGCCAGGCTGAACTGGACCGATTAGCACTGGCGGTCAATTGTTTTGGGCTATGCTTTGCTCCATCGAAATGCAAAGTTCTCCAAGATTGGCAGGGACCCACCTCTGCGCTGACACTTAATGATGATAAGCTATAAGTCGTTCAGGAAGTGAAGTACCCGGGCAACTATCTTAGCGCTCCTGGGATCGAAGGCGAGGTTACGAACCATATAGCAAAAGCTCGAGGTGCTTTTGTCAATCTTCATCACCTGTGGCGCAGACGCAACCTTCGCCCTGAAGAGTAAAGTGTGTATCGCATCCGTCCGTTCAACCCTCTTATACGGTTATGAAACCTAGCCCATCAGGTCGAAAGACATAAAGAGGCTGGTCCCGTTCGATCATCGCTGCCTTCGCAGCTTAGCTCATGTCTGGTGGGAGCATTGCGTGAGCAATGAGCATGTTCGGCGTCGCGTATTTGGTTCAGGAAGAGCGAATGAACCGCTCAGCACCCTTATATCACGCACCAGGCTCCGATGGCTGGACAACGTGTTGCGCATGCCAGCATACCGATTCCCGCGACGTGCATTTTTTGCGCTCCGGGAGTGCGGTTGAAAGAAGAGGAGGGTACGCCAAGCAATGACTATCGAGAGAAATGAATACCGTCACTTCGAAGTTGGCGTCGGTTGGTGCATCACGACTACCCGGCTGGGGTCCTTAGGACGATGAACACGTTTGGTTGGACACACTTGCTGATATGGCTAGGAACTGGCCCCAATGGCGATTGTGTTGTGCGTTCCTTTGTCCATCTCCTCCTGCTTGGCCTCCCCTTCCAATCACGATCTTCGCTAGGCATAATATGACTTTTTACGACACGATGGCCGACTATTATCTCTCCGGAACGATGTCTATCCGTTACTGGAGGCTCAGCCGGCGTGACACTGTTGCATTTTTTCTTCTCTTTAGTATTGCGGCACAATAGCTGAGATGTTTTCCACTGGCAGCTAACGTGTATGTATGATGACAACTATCGCCGTTTATTTTGCATCATCAGGGCCACCGGTTATAATTCACACTCTATTAGCCAGACGATTTGCGAATCAGACGGCACAAAGATCACCAACCTACACGGGCGATTGGGTCGCTAAGCAGAACGCTTCGCTCTTCAATTCAACCACTTAACGCAGCCCCTTTTGCATCTCTAGCCCCAACGGATGATTGTTGGCCTGTTTTACAGCCCCCCC